GTCATTTTTACTAAACTAATGGGACATTTATGTTATCTTGTTTCTCTTAGCATTTCTGTTAGCACTGGTGTGGTTTGTACTTTTTGTTGTTGCTTTTTGGTCTGGCGATCAAGCCTAGTGTCTTGATCTTGCTAAACATACACTCTATCACAGATGTATACCCCAGTCCTGGTTTTGCTTTTTCATTCATGTATTTCCTATTTGTTGTTCATATAATTTACCTTTATTCTTTTGAAATATTTATCCTTAATTATTTGTAATGCTTCTTTGTATATTGAAGACATTTAACAATGTTTGTCCTTTTTCTATAAACCTTGTTTGTGGTTTAGGAGGTTCTCCTAGTATACAAAAGTTATACATATTTATGTAATTTAGTAATACATATACTCATTCCTATAAGGAAATAAATGGTAATTATCAAATAGTGTTTTGTTGTTTCTTCTATTTTGAGTGTATGTACCCACATGTGTATAATGACCTACTTTATAATTTAGTTTAGTCCAGTGGTTTTTCAACTTTACGAATAGAATGCCTTTTAGTGATTAAAAACAATTCCGACACTTGTTCCTATCTCATGGGTACTGTCATAATTTTGGGGTGGGTACCAGGTGTGTATTTAAAAATATATATTTATGTATGCGTGGGGCATATATGACTCATGTTCTGGTGTTTTCAGCTCTTCTCAGACCCAGATTCACATTTTTATGACAGATTTTTAATTGCCTTCTTTACTATCTTAAAATGCATTTACCTAGGTAATACAATCTACTTAGTTACATATTTTTATAAGGAGAAAGAAGATTATAGCAATGCATGAAAAAATGTGTATTTTCTATGTATATGCTCAGTCATGATTAGACTAGAAACGATGATTAAATTGTCATATACTGTACTTGTACATGCACACAGTTCCTATGAGAAGGGAAGTACAAATGCACATTGGAAGACATGTATTCTTAACTCAAGTACTACAGGTAGTATTGCCTTCGGGGAAATGAAATACTAACTTTAGGTAAAATTCTTAAAATGTAATCTTTTTATCATTTAAAAACTTTAGTGCTGTTAGGACTATATAAAAATCACGTAAAAGGAGGCTGAATTTTAGGCTCAGCTAGTTGTAAGGAATTTTCTTTTAATTTCACAAAATATTTGGTGGGACATTTAAAAGTCGTGTTGGAGCTGGGCATGGTGGCTCACACCTGTGACCTGGGAGGTGGAGGCAGAAGGATTGAAAGTACGAGCTCAGCCTAGACAACGTAGTGACTTCGCAAGAACCTGTCTCAAAATAAAAGTTAAAAATGGGCTGAGGTTGTAGCTCAGGAAGAAGGGCCTGTTTCTTTTTTTCTTTCCAGAGAAAAATCTTGGTGAAGAATAGAGTAGGCTGAAACTTGTTACTATATATGTTTCAAATGATACAATTGCTTTCTATATTTATACTTAAGTAGTTGGATTTGGCTTTTAGATGAAAAGAATGTTGTTTTTTACTGAAGGTAATGGGAACATAAATATGTTCCCCAGTGTTTTCATTCAGTGATCTAGGAATAGCCTTAAGAAACATTTTGTCTAGTTTTTGTTATTAAAAAATAAGAGCTCAGTGCTATGTTAAAAGCCTAAAATTATATTTGACTGGAATTGTCCATAATTTGGTTTTTTAAAAATCCAAATAATATTATATAACTGATCAATTGGTTCACTGCCTAGGCCATGTTTTGTGGTCATACTTTCTCTAGAAAGTTACCAGTCGCCTTAGCTGCTCAAATGTTGATGTTTTAAAAATGAGACTACAGATGACCTTTTATAGTTGAGACAAAAATCTGTTCAAATCTGTTTATTAACACCTTCCCCTCCCCTTCTGAGGATTGAACCCAGGGCTTTTGTACTTAGCTATAATTCCAGCTCATTTCCTAGTATTTATTTGATACATCTTCTTCGTTAGTTTTCCAGACTAGGCTCGATTTTGTGATCCTCCTGCCAACCTTCCAGAGTGCTGGGATTACAGGCTTGTGCCACCATACCCAGCTTCTTAAAATCTTTTGTCCCAAAATATCTTTGCTTTATTTTTCTGAGTACAGTCTGTGTTCAGCTGGACATGTACTCAGCTTTTTGAAGAGATCTAAAGGTGTCTGTTAAGTTACTCCAAGTTATTCCTTTTATGAGGTTCATTATTCCACATAGTTTGTCCATTGAGAATATCTTTTAGGTTTTTCCCTTTTTATAACCACATGAAAATTCTTCCAACAAAGTTATGGTTCTTCCTTCAGTGAAAGATAGAAAGTATCAGTATTTTAGTTTCTTGTGAGTGTAATCTTTGTGTTTAACTCTCATTCAAAGACCAGATGAAACAAAATAAGTACACAGATAATAACTGCATCATTGTGTACCAACCTAATTTTCCATAGAATGACAATGACAATCATGTGAAACTGCGTTAAGTAATTTATACAAATTTCTTTAATGCATAACTTTTTTAGAACGTTTAGTATATATTTAATTTTGCAAAGCAGGGTCTACAACATAATTTTGTGTTCTTCAGACTCGACAATGGAACCATATATATATATA